TCTTCCCCGGCACACGCCAACTCCCCTACAAAGTTTATTTGGAAAAAAGGCACTGAACTTGGACTTTGCAGAAGGCTCGATTTCTACAGCTGCCCTTGTACCATTACTGAAGATCAAAAGGATGTGTCCTCGACCCTGCTATTCTCACTTTGTAGAAAATTTCCCCCAAAAAAACAAAATGAAACCAAAACTACTAAGAAACAAAACCAAACCAAAAATTCTGCAGTTTTAATCACTGCCCACTTCCCTCTTCCTGTCCCATCCCCCCAATCCTTCCTACATGAAGCTTTTGTGCACACTTAACACGTTGCAGACGGATCATGAGAATTCTCGCTTCATGTTACAGTGTTTTACAAAGTATCATACTTTAAAAAGATATTAGCTTGTAAGAACATGTAATAAATAACTTCAAAATGTAATGGGTATTTAATTTTAAAGCGGGCCTTTAACATTTATGTAAAACGTTTTTTGTACTTGTTCAATAGGACCTTATCTGGCCAGTGGGTAAAGCTAGCAATAAAACTGCTCCACAACGTGTTAAGCAAGTAGTGATTCACAAGAGACAAGGACGGTACCTAGTTTCCCATGCTCCTTTGAAGAGGAGCATCCTTGAGGGGGAGTAAAACTCCAGCCTTGCAAGTGTTTGGGGGAGCCTCCGGAACTCGACTCTGAAGCGTTCTCCTGGTGGGTCCAGGCGGCTGTCTGGCTGGTTGCAGTAAGAACACTGGGCTCTGTTACCTGCCCTGCCGGGTTCTCCCCTGCAACAGCACCTGCAGAGGAAAACACAGCAGGTGTTTCACCCTCTGTCACTTAGTACAATCACTTACACGGATGCTAACGGAGCACAAAGGGACAACAAAGCACCGATATCAAGGCTGTGGTTTCACCTCTCAGAATCCCCGGAAGTGCGGTCAGATACTCTGCCCATGAGCGGCAACCAAGAAGGCTTCGAACAAGCAGCGCAATGGAACAACTGGAATGTGCTCACAGGAAGAAGATGGAGAGGCCGAGCAGCTCGGCTGCCGGGACGCGGCCCTGCCTCTCACTCGGGGCCACAGGCAAGCTGCTGGACCTCGATGCACCTGTTTCCTCACCTGCAAAATGGGAATGAGTTAATACGCATTAAGCTTTTTGGAATAATGCCTGGCACACGTTCAGCACTTTGTTTATCCTACAGAGAATCTCCCCCCTCTTTCAAAAACACAGAACCCCTAATTGGGATCATCTGACAGAGTCCCAAACGCAGCATGTAATTCTTGAGAACTGATTTTGTAACCAGTGACACATTCGGAAGAGAAGCCTCGGGCAGGAAGCTAATTCCCTTTAAGGAATAAACATTTCAAAACATCCCCCTGCACCTCGGATAATAACCAAGGCTGAAATCCCAAATTAGATTCCTAAGGATAGTTCAGTGGAAAAGGAACTGTGTGGAGCCATCATTTTCTATTATGATATTCTCACTTGTGAAGCAGCTCTAGTTCTTGAAATGTTACCCCCTCAACCAGTGTAGCCTTGCTATGTCATCAGTGCCACTAGGGGGCAGTGGAGTAGGAAGAACACTGATCTGCAGCCAGCTTGGAGGTCTAAGATCAGGAGACAGTGGTGCTCAGGGTGGGGAGTGGGTGTGGGTTAAACCCAGCCAGTCACCACTGCTGACCACCAATCACTCCCCACCCATGTGAGACAGTCATGTTGACCAAAATTCAAATACTTTTATGTTGAAAGTGGTCTGTTTCAAGGATGGGAGGCCTCAGGGGTAAGAATGGGGGGGGGGGGGGTACGTAGAGGGAGAAGATATCTAAGGAACCTACAATGTTCTATGTTGGTAGTAGCCACAGGGTGTCCCACTTTATAAGTAAAAACACACAAACGTCAACTGACAACATCAACTTTTAATAATGGAAACAAATTGCCATTCCAAAAACAATTTAGGGAAGAAAAATGTTCCCTATAAAAATAAACTTACACTCCTCAAAATTATAAATATTATAACTTTTTACGTCTGCAATTTAAAATGCTCCCCTGCAATATTTCCCCCCTTCATTTGACATCATTCCTGTACCATCACATAGTGAAGAGAAAACAGTATTACAGCAAAGCTTAGATAATTTAACGTAAGAATTTGCACAATGATTTTTAAAAATCAGTGGCCTTACTGGCCCTTCTTTTACACATTAACCTCGCTGCAGTAACCAGTGTCTTGGAGAGAGCATCGATCTTCAAGAACAGTAAGAATTTTCCGAATTGCAACTTGTAGTGCACACGACAATAAACAGGGTCTGGATGATACAGGTGAGGGTGCCTATTTTAGACAATCTACTTCAAGTAAAAAAAAAAAAAAATTCACAGATACCCATCAGCTACTACATTAGGTTCTAACAGTGTCTTAATCTGAGAAACAAATGCTTCACAAAATATAAGCTTACTGGGATGGGTAGAGAAAAGAGCAGGTGGTTGATAACACTATACTCAAACCCAAGCCACAGTCTGAATAGTAAAACCAGTATAAAAACCGTGAAGGCATTCCCTGAACAATAAAGTGTTGGGTGACAATGACACTAAAACCTCATCAATGCACTAAAAAGAAGTCACATGCAAAATTAAACAAGATGTGCCATACATATTTTATAGCTAGCTCTACTTTTTTTTCCATCTTTCCTCGAAAAGCTTAGGAAGATACGATTGTCTCAGTAACGTGTGGCACAGCATCGCCAGCACTTCATCTGCCTCCGAGAGGGAGCTCTCTGACAGTCAGAAGAGCCCCCGGGCGGGAAACAAATGCATTAAAAGGCACAGTTCGCGGAGAAGGCAAAGAGCTGAAGCACCTTGGAATTTCACAAAGAATCCAGTAGGTGTCACCAAAGCGTTAACAATTCCTTGGGAATTTATAAAAACAAAAAATATCTAGACAAAAAAAATAGACTGTAAATCCCTCTCTAGAACCACAGTACACCTTTCCCATTGTTTTCAGATTAATTGCTGCATAAAATGAGGTTATTTAACTTGCTTTAAGGAAGGCTTCTATTGCACATGCATTTCTTTGGTCGGAAGGAACATGCACTTTTGATAAAATGTTTCCATAAATTGCCCCTCTGTGGTGCCAGGGGAGGGCCCTCCCCCTTCTTGCTGTCGTCCTCCTCAGTGAAGGCCTCCTCTTTGGGGTGATCGATCACAGAGCCCCTCCATCGATCGCCCTGCAGAGGGTGGCCTGGGCCTCCCTCTGCAGGGAAATGGTGGGGCCCCCCAACCAATCACATCACACCCACCTTGGCTGGCCTGGCGCCAGTGCCTGTCACAGTGTGGTCATCTGGAAGATAGTCAGGATGGTCGTTCCGTTCGGTCATTCGGTCGATTTGCATATTACACTTTTATTATTATAGATGCTTTCTTACAAAATGACACATATTAAATATAGACAGTTTAGGAAATACTGATAAGCAAATAAGGAAATAAAAATTGACCATACTTTTGCTACTAGCAAGAACTTAGATGCCAG